CGCCCCGTGTTGCGCGGGGGGGGAGGGGGGGGGGGGGGGGGGGGGGGGGGGGGGGGCTGCCGTTGGTGCCAGAGTCAGCAGTAAATCCTTGGTTGATGTTGCTGAAGGTTCTGGTTGGGTTGGTGCTGGGACTCAGAGTTGGACTGATGGCCAGGTTGGAGTTGGAGTCTGTGGGCGGGGGGAGGAGCCGTTGGTTGTCAAAGTGAGGGTTCAGGGTCGGGGACCGGAGGAAGGCCGACTGGTTCACATTGTGGATGGGGATAAAACCCGGTCTGGACTGAACGGCCCCATTAAAGCTAGTCTGAACGCATGCGTCTCTGGTGAGCGCCCTCTGGTGTCCGTTCTGCTCCACTGCTTGCTGCAGCTGCTTCTCTAGAACGTTGTTCCGGCGTTCAAGCTCGTGGACTTTGGCCAGGAAGCAGCGGAACCTCAGGTTCAGGGTCTTCAGAACACTGATGTTGGAGCCCAGATCGTTACGCAGTGCCATGGCAGCAGGGGGCGCTCTGTGGTGGGGGTGGGACAGGTCCAGTCCAGAAACCCCATCCGGTCCGTACCACCCATGATCCCAGAAGAAGTGCCCCGGTTCTGGGACAATGCACTCCGTCTGGACCGTCATATGGTGCTGCGGCATCGGAAACCCACTGTCCCCCAGGACCGGATTCATTCTGGAGTAAGAAAGTCTGACGTGCTCAAAGTCCGGCATGAAACCAGGATTCCTACAAATAACGTCAAAGAGTACAGAACCCTGGAGGAGTCTAGAACCAAAACTAGAACTGACAGTAGAATCTACTGGTACTTCCAGCTCGTGGCCACCGGGGGTCAGTCAGAAGATCAAAATGTCTCCGCTGAAGAAAGGAGTCCACAACCAGAACCAGGTCCGGAAGCAGTCGAAGGTCTGGGTTTCTCCTGCTCCTCAGTCACTTCATACTGTGCTATTCCCAGGACCAGGACCAGGACCAGGACCAGGACCAGGACCAGGACAAGCGAGGTGACGCAGCAAGTCACACGTTTGTTCTTATCTCTGTATCCCTGTGATGGTGAAGGAGGAGGAAGAGGAGGTGGCAGCAGCTGGAGAGATGAAGATCAGGAGGGTGTGGACGTCAGAGCTGCTGCTGCTGCACAGACCAACACTGCGGTGCTTCTATACCGTAAAGACTAGAATAGAGCGGCAGCAGCGGCAGCAGCAGCTGATCGTACGGATGTCGTAATAACCAGAACAAGTGCGCACCGTCGTGATGACAGCTTTTTTTTTTTTAAAGAAAACTGAACTTGTCACACACCACTGCACCACTGCACCACTGCACTCAATCAAATGTGACCTCTTTTTTTAACCCATCACCACAGTCAGCAGGGGGCAGCAGTGTGTGTGGAGACGGTGCCTTGCTCAGAGCACCTCAGTGGTAACTTGGCAGCTGGTGGAGTCGAACCTGAAACATTCCTGACCCAAGTCTGCTTCCTTAACCACTAAGACACCACTGCCACCAAATACTTCTTGATTGTATTTCTTCTGTTTGATCGATCAGTTGGTCGATTATTTATTACTGTCATTCAAACAATACAAATGAGTTTAAGTTTAAATGTTTAAATTAAGTTTAAATGAGTTTAAATAAGTTTAAGTTTAAGTTTAAGTTTAAGTCAAATGATAAATACGACCGAGTGAACGACCGAGTGAACGACCGAGTGAACGACCGAGTGAACGACCGATGGTTTGTCACGTTATGATTAAATGCTAAAATACATGATTCGGATCTCCTGTAAATGTCCAGTAGGTGGCAGCATCCCATCATATTCAGAGTCAAGGTCAGGTGACCACGGCTGCTGACGTCACATTCAGAAACAAACGCAGTAAAGTGGTGGGATTAGAACCAACAACCTGGCAGAGAGCAGTGAAAATATGTGCGTCTTATCAATGACGTCATGAACTGTTTACGATGCGACAGACACGTGACGTCGGTCATCTGATGCCCGGCCGCTGCCATGGCAACAAGCCGCGTTGCGTCAGCAGCTGCATCATCATCGTCGTCCTCATCCTCGGTCTCCCCAACACTGTCAAGGTCGCTGCAGAGGGAGCGAGGTGCATGCTGGGAAGGTGAGGATGAAAATTCATGCAGACCCTCACGTAAACCCACCTCCGTAGTCGCGCATGCGCACGAGGAAGTTTCGTCGTGTGATGGATCCGTGAGGAAGAGGAGTCGCGGGGAGCGGCACGCACTCACCGAGGGGCGGGGCAAACGACGTCCCCGGTTTGATAGGTTGAAGAAGAAAAAAGAGGAAAGAAAAAGCAGCCTTCGTTTCCTGTGGACGTGAGCGCCTCCTCCTCCTCCTCCTCCTCCTCCTCCTCCTCCTCCTCCTCCTCCTCCTCCTCCTCCTCCTCCTCCTCCTCTTCTTCCTCTTCCTCAGCGGTCAAAGTCTGAAGCTTCAGGGTGGGTGCGAGGAATCGAACCTCAGCCTCTTCCTCAAACTCCCACTCTTCTTCATCATTTACACAAATCAACTCCGTCTCCTCGTTGAGACTGTTCAGCACCACGGACAGCGCCTTCTCTCCTGCGGTGTGTTCAGTCTACACCAGCGCTCAGCGCCAACGGGCGGAGCTTCACCTTCACCTTCCTCCTCTCCAGCTGAGTCCAGTGTTCAGGTCTGGTCCGGACCCCCGTCCAGCGGCTCAACATGGCGGGTCAGGTCAGTGAATTCACGTCAACAGATGAAAGTGTTGTGAATGAGGCGATTGATCACGTGAGTGCAGCAGAGTGGACCGAGTCACAGGCATGGGTGTGTGGGTGTGTGGGTGTGTGGGTGTGTGGGTGTGTGGGTGTCTATTGCAACATATCGATCAGATTATTGATGATCAGTTCATCAGAAACTCTGAACTTCAGTGCACGTGTGTGTGTGGAGGTCACATGTCCATGTCATGTAAACAGTGTGTGTGTGTGTGTGTGTGTGTGTGTGTGTTTTGCATCTGTTCAACATTTTTAATATGAAAACAGAAAATACAAGTCTTGGTTTGTGGACCCAGATGAGCTGGGATTAAGTTTGTTTGAGGTCAGTTGATGAAAGTCTGGCTGTTGTCATAGTCAGTGTGTGTGTCTGTGTGTGTGTCTGTGTGTGTACTTCGGGCTGTCACCTTCAGGCCGTATCCATGGAGACAGAGACAGAGCTGGAGAGGGCGGAGCTTCTCACAGAGACCGTTAAACAAACAGACACAACAGACATGAGTCCAAGTTGTCGGTCGGACTGTTGTCGGTCGGACTGTTGTCGGTCGG